CACTGAAGTATCTATCAAGCAGTATCTAATCTAATAATAATAATACAATAATAACATGAAGTTGAATCTAATCTAATAATAATGAAAGTCCATGAGCTCTACACTTTGCCAGGTTGGATATGATGTTCTAATTCTATATTGAACTTGCAGAACTGGCACTATTCTCAATCTGTTATAAACAATGTAAAGGAAGGTGCCATTTATCGAAATGTTTAATAACACATATCACCATTACTCTGACATACTACATCTTTATATATTGATGCTGAATTGATTATTGTCTTTTTGCTTTTATATACTCTCTATATTCTTTACATATATTTTTGTAGCTCTGTAGCCAATTATTATATTCATAGCTAGCATTTTATGTACTCTATTAGAGAGAAAGCCAGAATAAATTCCCCAATGGCTCCAAGCCCTGGGGGTCTAAGTTTAGATTGTCTGAGAAGCCAAGGCTGAAACCAGCTCTCCAAGACACATTTTAGTAAACAAAGTTTAGTTCCTACCCTACCTAACGTTGGGAGGAATTCAGAAAAGGGTAGAACCAGGGAAGAATTACCTCATCATTTATGTCTCTGATTAGGGATTCTTGTCAGCTATGATAATTTGCTAAACACATAAAAATATGTTACATGTGCATCTTCGACACGTTCAATCTAGCAAGCTGTGCACCTATAGATCTACAGATCCTTAAAAAGGTAACCCCTTTTTATCACCTAACTGGATCTGGCTTGTGCTTTTAGGACAAGCAAAAAAACATCAGTATCAGTTGGATTTTATTAAAATAGCTTGCATTAAATAGAAAGTTAGTAAAGTTAAGGGCATGCAGAGAAACTATAAATTTAGATATGAAAATATTCAGCTACTGAAAAGGATATATGTATAGAATTGTAAAAATCGAAAACAAGTTAATCTATTGATATATAATTTTTATATAGATATATATATGACTTTTGACTTTTATTATTCTTTTACTGACCTGCACATATATATTAAACTACATTTTTATTTAAAACACAGGCATATGTCTGTTGCTTTAAATTCAAGATTCTAGATATTCCTTAAGTTAAACATTACTGAAAATTATCCATATTTCTATGCTAGACAACTCTACATAGACATAAATTTCAACATATTGTATTATGCAATATTAGTATTGGTTTTATATACTGACACATGCACTGTAAATACAGGCACAAAGTCCAGAAAACAATGTTCCTGGGTTGTCAAGCCCACTGTTGTAGGAATACATATTTTAAAATTCTGGATTCTTCTAATATCACAATATATCAATTAATTATCAAGCTGAGATTACAAAATAATGCCCTATAAAAATAGTTTGAAAGTTTCAACACCTATTTTTTCAGAATCTTTGCAAAGTTACTTAAACATGAGAAGTTTTTCAATCTATAATGTGCATATAGCAGGGAAGCAGACATATTTTTGGATTCTATTTGTAGTAGCTGTGGACATGACAAAGTTTCCTACCTTTTTTCTGAAAAAAAAGAAAAAAAGAGAAAAAGAATGTATGTTTAAATTGTCATTTTCTTTTTATTGCAACAAGACAAAAAAGTGAAGAATCAATATCAAAATTAGCCATAAATATTAGCTTTGAGATAATATGGTGTGGTAAGCACGAACACTTATTTTTTCTATATTTAAAAACTTGGTTGTTCGTGCTGCAAAAAATTATTTTTATCACAATTTTGATCACCACATCATAAATCTTGTGTATTACCAGTATATTTCCTGTTCTCAGTTTTGGTCATGATTTATTGCTTTTCCCATTACTAATATGCATCTGTTTATGATCAACTTTAAAAAGAAAACTAAAAACCAAGGCGCATCTATATGCACTGGAACAACAGTGAGTACGAAGGTGGTATTGTGGTTGTGCAGCTAAGCAAGAAAGGATTGCTCCTGAAGGAACAAAAATGCCCTCAATTCCCCCTACCCCAGTACAGGTTGTGAAAGAGAAGCACCTCTCAGGGCTGGAGAGATAGTGCTTTCCTTTGGCGACTTTCTCATTTTGAGATGTCCACTATTCTTACATCGCTGTTAAACACACTTCATTGTAGATGCCTCTGCTGGACAAATGTACAGAACTCCTAATTAAAGAGTATCATTTTTTGCCACAAAAGGAGCTAGATTGTAATGGATTTTTTTGTCCTATGCTTGATGAGGGGTGAGATATTGTTTAAACCACTAGCAACACCACTGGAAGAAAATGTAAGCTTAGCTTAACACCCAGAACGGCACCAGTTGCTGTTGTTAATACCGGTAGTGTGTCTATTTAAAAAAAAAAATCAAAAGAAAGAGTCACCTTAAGTGGATTAGCTTTTCTTTTTGAAAGGTAACATTAACCACACATTTTTTAACTGATCCACTATACTATTGGCTATCTCATTCTTTCAGGTTTTTTTTTTAAGATTGGTGTAGCCTATATATCAAACCCCACGTTAACTAAAAAGTTACAGCAGCAAAATAGCAAGCAACAACCCATTTTCTAAAGTGGGGATTTTCTAATCCATTTTGGTATTTAATTTGCATGGGGTAGGTGCACATTACCTGTAAGTTAATAAAGATCATCTGCAATCTCATGCCTAATATTATGTTACAGAAAGACCAGTGATTCAGGAGGTCATATCACCCTTAAGGAAAAGGAGGAAGAGGCCTGAATGTGAAAATGGACATGAAATTTTTGACCATCAGCTACCAAATGCTGGTGGAACTGGTATCGCTCCTACTTCTAAAGGATAAATGCTAATCTACAGAACTAAAAATCTTATTTTCTACGATTGCTTTGTAAACCAGAACTAATTCCGGTGATGGGAGATGTAACAAGAAAAAGAAAGACATTATTTTCAGATTACCTTCTTGTGAACAGAGAATGGATGCTGGATCTGCATGGAAACCACTATGACTAATGTTCCCAGACCAGAGCGTAAATGTGTCGTATATGTGACGTAATTGGCACAACTGATGTCCTCACTGGTGTTAGCAACATGAAATAGGTTGCTTCATGACTAAGATGATAGGAACAGGATTTCACATGGACTAACAATTGTGTGTATAAAGGTCTTTTATACAGTTTGGGTACAAAGAAATTCTTCATCTCAAAAAAATCATATAAATAATATAAATAATGCTAGGAGTTGTCATTCTAAGATGAGAGTTATTTGGTTCAAGTCTACACTAACCATGAAATTAGTACTTAGTCTTCAAAGTGGCTGATGTAAAGAACTTTAGTAGGCTTAGAACTTCAGTTGCCTTACTCTTAGTTTAGCTAAGCTGGGTGACATCCAATGTGAATGTTATTTGTCTTTTTGAGCTTCAGAACCTGTTTAGTCATCTTTGCACAGAAAGATACAAATAATGCAAAAAATACATTAATTTTCTTCCTATCAACAGTATTGAGTTAAAGATCACAAGGGAGAAGACAGGCCTTTTAAAGTCTTCTTTCAAGACTTGCATTATCTATGTACAACAAGACCAAGAAATGTTTACTCCTTTTTTTTCACATCATCAAAAATATGCTTATCCAGTATGTAATGTTGAATGTCTTTCATGTTAAGTAGTGTATTCCTACTGGTATAAAGCTGGTAATCAATATGTTGTTATGCCACTAAATAGTAGCACCTGTTAAGGATGTAAACTCTCAGGATTAATAAAGAAGCACAGTAAATCCAGGCAGCTATTCACCTTATGGCCCACGCTAATGTTATCAACAACAAAACTATTAAAATTACAAATTAGTTCAGGAAAAAAAAAAGCAAAAATAACAACTCTTTGGTAAATAAAAATATCTTTAAGAGATGAAAGGAAGTTATGAAGTCCAGGTAAAGTGTCTTTCATTATGTTAATATGAATACGATGTGCATGTTTGCATAGCATAAAGGTGCACAACCTGCAGAGAATGTGTGTGCAGATTTCACCAGTGAGCACCTAAAGTTATCATAGACATGAATGCAGCCACATACTTTAATCTGAAAGTATTTAAGTTAGTTAAACCTATAATTCAGTGTCTTTTCCACATTCAAAATTCTGTTTGGGGAGGCTGGCAGATAAACCTTTCTCTCCATGTTTGTGGTTTCTGAATTGCAGTCCATGTCTAAAAATTTCACCCACAGCTGCACACAGGCACATGCAGACCATGTGGAGGGAGTGAGTGGAGGAAAGTGGGGGATGCCTAATTCCTGCCTTGCCTCTACAGCAGCACAGGAATCAGCATGAGAGATGTGTACACCCAGGTAGGTGCCTTGGCCTCAATGTTCAGCAGGAGCTCTACCTCTGCTGGCAGCCTGGCGAGCCTCCAGAGCACCCTGAGACCTGGCTGCCCACTGCCACCTTGCCCAGAGTGTCCTGCAGAGAGCCAGGCTGCAGGAGCATCCCAGCTACATTGTAGTAGATGTCCCAAAAGCTTTCAGAACCCTGGGAATGCTGCAAGATCAGAAACAATTTTGGCTTTGTTTCTAGGATTGCGCTGCCTGTGAGCCTGGTGGGAGGCAGTGCGGGAGGAGCAGAGCCCGCGTTCAGCTTCCCTGGCTGGATGGGCAGCTGGCATCCCTGAAGCCAGCACAGATAAATGCATCTCCTGTTTGTGGTGATGTGAAGGGCTTTTCACAATGAAAGCAACCTAATGAAAAATTATCAACAGCAAAGCATGTGCAAAGAATGTATGACATTTCAGTCTGTGTATGTGTAGTCAGCGCGAAACCTTGCCAGATGCAGGTAGGTAAGAAAATTCACCTGAACAGTACTTTACACTGCGTTTAGAGAAACCCAAACACAAGTGAGGAATTTTTTCTTAAGTAAAATCTGGCACCTTTTACATGATGAGCAAACACACATACAGATCTCTGTGTATCTCATATGATTAGCAATCACACACCTGCTTTTCCCAACTATGGCCGGAATGAGGACTTTAGCATGCAACCAAAGGATATTTTCCTTCCCAACCACACACTGCTTGGCTAAAAAATCTGATAGGTAACACTGACCTTTAGCTTGTCATAGCGGTCACTTAAAGCTGCCACCTGATGGTCACGGTGTCGCCCGACCAGTTTACACAAGGCACAAATTAACTGGTCATCAGTCACACAGTACATGTTAACTTTCTCGTCCTCATGCTCCAAGCACATTAATCCCCTGATGTGAGAGTCTGGGATAGGCTCGATGAGACGGTGGCCAGTGAATGGCTTCTTATTGGGGTGAGTGGCTTTCAGGCACTCCTCGCAGTAGGACACCTCGCAGGTAACACAGGTTTTCACCGCCTCCTGGGCAGGGTCCTGGTCGCAGAACTGGCAGAGGACCTTCTCGCAGGACGACATGCTGTTGTTATCAAACGCCCGCTCCCGGCGGGTCTCGCTGGGGGAATTGGGCCCACTGACGGAGGCTTTCTGAAACCTGTCGATGATGTTCTGCAGGGTGACGTTGCGCTTGAGCCCGTCTAGACCGCGCTGGCTAAGGGTGATGACATAGCGGCAGGTCGGGCACTGGAAGGCGGTGATAGACTCCACCGGCTCGTTGGTGGCGCAGTGGGAGACAAGGATGCGGTGCGCGCAGTTGAAGCAGAGGCTGTGAGCGCAAGGCAGCAGCAGCGGGTCTTCAAACAGCTCCAGACAGATAGGGCAGGTCAGTTCTGACTCCAGTGTTTCCATCTTCAGGCAAAGCTTTCCTGTGGCGTCAGCGAAATCCAGGGAAGCTGATCAGCTATCTGGAAACACATGTAAAATTCGATTAGGCAAGAGAAAACATGAGGGGTCAGCCATGGGGGGTTGTCAACTTTCGCCACTGCTCCCTGGTCTACCAACCCACCATGCCGGGCGGGAGAGCAATCAAAAGTTTTGAACCTGCACATACACACATCAAGGTATTTAAACTGTTTTATTTTCCCCCCTTCCCCACCTTCTGTTCACTTAAGAATGAAAAAACCCAAATGTTCTTCATTATTTTGTCTTTCCCTTTCTCTTTCATGCAACCAAGGAAAATAGGAGATGTTTCTGTGCATTATTAAAACCCAAAATGATGAACTTCAAAAGTCTATTACAGCAAAATAAGATTTCTTTTGCAGATGCTGCTTTTGGCTTCACTCATCTATTAGTAAAACTTTAAAAAAACCTCCTTCAATTTTGTATGGCATTGTGCAAGGATTAGTCCAGAGTATTATAACTGATAAATTTAAAATCTCTATTAGCGTTGAGTTATTTTATCAGATTGAAATTTTCACCTGCTACTATAGCAATAGCACTGCATTTAGACTACATGTCTGTGTTTATTTCTGCAAATATATATATATGGATTTAAACACACAGAATAGTGTTTCTAGCACGTGATATTCTACATATATGTATGATATATATCATATATACTCCCATGTATTTCAATAACACATGCAGCCGTATTTATGTGCACCTATATTTTTTATTTTAGGCATATCTACCTGCATAAAAATGCCCAAAAGTATATCACATACATGTTTGTAGTAAGATTAATATAGCCACAGGAGCACACAACGTTGTAACTGAAATGCCTAAATGAAGATTAATTAGGTACATGCCAAAAGTAGCTTAGCCCAAATTAGTGATGATCCCAACCTCTAATACAAGAAAAGCTTCTAGACAGTAGGATAGTGAAATGTGTAATTTGCTTGGAGGAGTTTGTGTAAGTATCCACTTTTGTATGAGTACTCTCTACCACTAAAACATACGAGCTATGGCTTGCTTTAGTGACCTTATTAAACCCCTGAAGTGGATTTGGACTAGAATCAACAATTTTTGAATGGAGGGCATGGGATTTTCTGGAGAAGGCAGCGGTACACCCCCATCAGAGATCAACTGCAACTTAATTTTGTTTCTTTTCCTGTGCTCAGTGTTACAGAGAATGGTTTTGAAAGAGTCGCCCTACGCGACTCTCCCTGCCTAAGCTCCTGTCAAGGGCCCGTCACTGCTGCAAGCAGACAGGTCAGTGAAGCAGAAACAAAAGCTATGCTTCACACTCACAGAGCTGTACCTCTTCACAGTACAATCTATTTAAGCTTTGTTGCTCATAACTGATGATGGCTTCAGATGGCACAGCTGCATCATCTTTACACTGTAAAGTCATTGTTCAGTTGTGTGAACTCTTGACTCCTCCCCTGACCAGGGAAAAAGACAGAAGGACAAGAATCCCCCACAAACAAACCTTGATTCATTAAGGGTGAGAAAAGCTCAGGGCTCATTAGCAGCCTTGGGAACCAAGCAGGCTTGAATCTTCTGTACTTCATGACAATTAGTGTGGGGAGCATGGTGGCAGTGACAGGAATGCTACCTATAACCCCATCCAAAGCAAAAAGGAAAGTTCAGCTAACAGAGGCAAGGTTCAGACTTCACTGTTGGTATTTAGTCCTCCTTGCTGTGTGGGAAGAGCAGCAAGGCGTCTTTTCCAGAGGTATGCCTAGAAATGAGGATACTTTGCCGCTTTGCACTAATGCGTCCTTTTATTCTGCCAAGAAATCTGAGCATTTAAAAAATGCACTGACCCCATCACAAAATTTGCTTTCCTGTATCTTCCCTGATGCTGATCTTTTTTGAAATAAAGTTCAGCTTGCCAAAGACTAATTCATTTATAGCTATCCATCAGCTGCCATAATTGCACGGTGCATCTGGTCAAAATTAAATGTCTGGAAATTTAATATAAGCAGGAAGACAACTCCCCTCTCAGCCATAGCCATACAGCACAGAAGAGATTAAAGCCTTTCCTGCAAATGAAGACCAGTTTGTCTTTTCTCCTCTTCATTCTCTGTCTTACAGAAGTCCCAGAAGATCAAAATCTCATTCACATTGTTTGAATCCCTTCCACACCACAACTGTCTACCTCATCATCCTCTTATCCTGCAGGCTGAGTACTGCACAGGAAAAGGGAGAAGGGGATTTGGGTTTGGCAGGAGACAATGTTTAAAAAGACAAACTAATCATTTCTCATCTATTGGCAGCCCTATGAAAACCTGCCAGCCTTTAAGGTTTGCTTCTCAGGACCACATTCAGAATACAGGGCTTTCTTCAATGATAATCTTTCTGTACAAAATTCCTTCTCCTCCTCCATGTGCCAAACAGTTTCATTCATTCCGTTTCCTTCCTAAAGCACCTTTTTTACAACCAAAGGCTTTTTTTATGGTACTCATATAAAAGAGATGTATAGTTAAACAGCTAGAAGCAGCAGAAAAACATTTGCATCACTGCCTCATAGAAAGATGTTTGAATCACCATCAGGGCTCTACACAAATACCACCGTCTCAACTGATGACTAACTCTAATCTATCTGACCTGAATGAGCAGCAGCTGAGCCCTAACTAATGCTATTCAGTATGAGCAAGGGTGCCAAAATCTGATCTCAGACTGCAAATGTCTTGGAATAAGAACCGATCTTCCAAGGTAAACAAAGCTGAGCACAGTGATAGAAACAAAAAAAATTACATTTCCCCATTTTCTTTTTCAGTTGCAAATAAGTCAAAACACAGCACATCTAGGACTGAATAATAAATCCTTTGAGAGCCACTCACCAAAGACAGGCTGCATTTTCTGGACAAACAAATGATTACTCTAATCCATTTAATTTCTGCTTTCACTTTTAAGTAGGTGCCTAAAGTACAGATCAGTGTGCTGATGATCCAGCTACAAAATCTTTCAAACGCATTGGCCCTTGCCTTAAGGCTTCATACTGAGTTTGGGTTTTTCTTTCTTCCTTGAGAATGGTAGAGAATCCATAGCTACAGAAAACTGTAAGATTAGGCAGAAACACAATATGCATTGTTTGTGGATGCATATGGTTGTATTCCATATTCAGCCTAGCTCAAAAATTGAGATGCACATACCCTCCAGATGCAGAAAGGAATCAAGGAATTTCAAGTACGCAATTTCCTATTTGCAAAAATATGGAATTGCTGGCAGAAAATTATATTACCAAAATGTCATTGAAATGACAAGAGTTATTTTTCTACCCACAGGAGGTAATTTTAAGAGCAGATATCAAAATAAAAGAGATTGTCAAAACAAATGTTATTTAAACAACAAAAATATACTCGAGTAACTTTGAGTTTATGATATCGCCCCAGGAACATAATGATTAGTTATGCAGTATATTGTAAATATGCACTAAATAAAATCCCAACATCAATCTAGTTCATTGCAAGATTCTACTTACACTAGTGGAATTAGCATCTCTGTACCTCTGCTTACAAACATGACATATTTTGTAGGCGGCATTAACACCTTCATTTGCCAAGACATAGCCCAGCAGCAACTGGGATAACTTCTGAGATAACAGATTTAGGAAGGGAAAAAAAAGTTATTGCAGAGAAGCAATTGCAACCAGAGAAGAAGAGAGAATGTGAGAGAAACAGCTCTGCAGATAACACAGACTGTGAATAAGGAGGAGGTGCTCCAGGTGCAGATATCCCTGCAACCAGAAAGGAATAAGCTGAATGTGCCTTTACAAGCAGATGGTGTGAATCTGCTTGTAGATAGGGCCCAGGCACTTGTAGGTAGGGAAGAAACAGGAGAAATCATGAGTTTCAGAAAATGCTACTAGTTGATATGGAAAGCTGTTTAGCCAAGGTCGTGCTAAATTTCTGAACTTTGAGAAGAACAAAGATTCAGTAGAGCTATTTTATTCAAAGGGCGTGTGTGTGTTTGTGTATGCACATTAAGGGGAATATAAAATAGGTGAATTGGGAAGTCTACACCTTCCAAGGGCCTTAGCCAATGAGGAAAGGTGATGTGGCCAGGAAAATTGGGCTGAAAATGAGTCTATGTCCTCCAACAATTTGAGAAACCCCATGGAGAAATTCCTTATGGCCTTTGTTCATTAATTAAGTTACAGGACACTTCTGTCTTGTTTCTGGACATAAAGCTCTGGCAATGTGAATTTTTACACACAAACCCATGGTGAAAACCATGACGAGACAGGCTGTCCCTCTGCAGTCGTTCATGGTGGAGCTGGGATCCACCTGCAGCCCTTGCAGGACTTCACACCAGAACATGTGAATGCCAGAAGGAGTCTGTGATCCTGTGGGAAGTCTATGCTGGAGCAGATTCCTGGCAGGATTTGTGACCCTGTGAGGGACCTGTGTTGGAACAGCTGTTCCTGAAGGACTGCATATTGTGGAAGGGACCCGCACTGGAGAGTTTATGAAGAAATGCACTCTGTGGAGAAGACTCATGTTGCAAAAGTTCTTGTAGGAACTGCTGTCTCCTATGGGATGGGCCGCACACCAGAGCAGGTGAAGAGTGTGAAGAGTTCTCCATCTGAGGAGGAAGGAGTGGCAAAACCAATGTGTGATGTACTGACTGCAACCCCCATTCCCCATCTTCCACTGCTGCTAGGGAGGACAAGGCAGAAAAATCAGAAGTGAAATTAAGCCTGGGAAGAAGGGGTGGGGGAGAAGGTATTTTATTTCTCATTATCTGATTCTGATTTCACTGGTAAAAAGTTAAATTAATTTTCCAAGATGGATTCTGTTTTGCCTATGACAGTAGCTGGTGAGTGATCTCTGTGTCCTTACCTTGACCCATCAGCCTTTCATTGTATTTATTCTCCCTTGCTCAGCTGAGGAGGGGAGTAACAGAGCAGCTTTGGTCAGCACTTGGCATCCAGCCAGGGTCAACTCACCACAAGTATTAAACTACACTTATAAATGAATGTGTCAAAAATTCTAGTATACTGAGATCACTTTTGGTC